AAAATTAAGTTGGCTATCCAGAGTTAACCCCAGATTCCTAGCCCTATTAACCTGGACTATGAGTTCATTATTTAATTGTATATTTAAGGGTCTGCTATCTAATCTCTGCAATTTCTTTTTTGATCCCAACAACATCAACTTAGATTTTTTTGGATTGATCACTAAACAGTTTGACTCACACCAAGCACTTATTTTAGATAGGTCACTATTGACTTTAGCAACAGCTTCTTCGTAGTTTTCAGGCCTGAATGAGATATATAATTGTAGGTCGTCAGCGTAGAGATGGTATTTGCAGTGCTGGATATTATAAGTCAGGTCTGCGCTGTATAATATGTAGAGGATCGGACCGAGTATCGAACCCTGCGGAACTCCACAAGCAACGGGCAGCGGTGAGGAATAAGACTTGGTGCCGTTTATATTCTCAAGTACTACATACTGCTGTCTTTGCATTAAGTAACTTGCGAACCATTTTACAGCAGGTGTGTCCACACCATAATAGGAGAGTTTGGATAGCAGCAAAGATGTATTTAGAGTATCAAATGCACGTGAGAAGTCCAGGAATATGAGGATACTGACCAGGCCTTGGTCCTGAGCTGAGAGGATATTATCCATCACATCGGCCAGTGCAGTAGCTGCACCATGACCCTTGCGAAACCCCGACTGGAAACTTGGAAGGATCCTGTTATCCTCCAGGTACTGTGTTAGTTGGTCAGAAACCACCCTTTCCAGAACCTTAGAGAGACAGGGAAGGAGACTAATAGGTCGCAGATCTTGAAAAGATGAAGGTGGATTAACTTTGGGGAGGGGTTTGACCAGTGCTGTCTTCCAACTGACAGGGAATGTGCTTTCCACTATTGATCTGTTAATGATAGTTGTGATAGCCATTAAAGTATGTGGAAGAGTCAATAGTAACATTTCAAGTGAGATACTGTCACAACCCTGTGCATTGGATTTAAGCCCCTTAACAATCCTAATTATCATATCCTCACTCACAGGTTTCAGAGAAAATATGGCAGTTCCATATCTATGATGTTCAAAATATGTCAACTGTGAGATTGCAACAAAACCATGACCAGGCACACTGAGAAAATGACAATTGATGACATCGGGATTATCAAAGCAGGGGGGGAGTTCGGGTATGGAATTCTCACTTGTTAATACACTCCTTTTTAAATTTTTCCAAAGTTTCTTTGGGTTTCTTATATGGCAGTTAATATATTTATTAAAGAAACACTTTTTCTCCTCCTCAATGGCTTTAACTACCAAATGTTTCATAGTCAAATAACTGGCCCTGTGCGAGTCCGTCCTGTGCATCTTGTAAGACTGTAGATAATTCTCCCTGATACGTATCATAGACTTAACTGTGTCTGTGATCCAGGGGTGAGGAGGGTGTTTGAATTTATGTCGCTTGAATGGGGCATGTAAATCAAATATATTAGTTAAAAAAGACGTGAAATTATCTACTAAAATATTAATATTGTTTGTGTTGTTAAAATGGCTCCAGTCAATATTATTAAGGTCCCTTTGCCATTGGTCCAAAATGATGTCATTTAATGGCCTGTACTGCACCCATCGCGGAGTAATTCTCCCCTTCTTTATTTTAATTTGTAACGTCACCATTGCATGAGCACCTAGATCAGGACAATGCTTGACCGTGACCTTTTGTGTGCGTGTGTCAGTACAAATGATATCTATTAGACTCTGGCTGTGCTGAGTGAAGTGTGTTGGCTCAGTTACCACCTGATTTAGATTCATTGTTTGAATGAATTGTAGCAATGATCGTGACTTACTGCTACCAGGATTAAGGAGGTCAATGTTGAAATCTCCAAGCAAAATCAGACCGTCACACTTGGTGAAAGAAGTAATAGAGTCAGTGATAGCATCCAAGAAAGTACTAACATCCACCCATGCTGGCCTATAGGCGGTACCTATCATTATCTCTTGTCCTAGCAACCGTACCTTCAACCACATTTGTTCGACCGTTGATGTGATAGGGTGAGGGTGGGTGCGAGCATTAATGCCCTTACGAACATAAAACCCAACACCACCACCACGTCCATTTCGAATATGTACTGGCCGAGGTATATGCCTCAAACGATAACCAGCAAGAGTAGGAGCTCCATTCTCTTCTCCCTTTCTTAACCAGGTCTCATTGATAGCTAAGATATCTGGGTTCAACTCCTCCATGGCCACAATAAATTCCTCCTGCTTAGTTGATAGTGATCCTGCATTAAAAATGCCAACTATAAGATTTCTACAATTAATCATTTTTTATAACTCTATAGTACCTATTGATGTAAGATAAGTTGATTAGATTTATACATTCAGATTCAGAAATAGGTTTAAGAAAAATTAACATAATATGTCTAACAGTATGCAGTAAATACTCATCCATAATCAATTGTAACATATATAGATAATTTTCAGTAAGTGATGGTACAACTATTTTAATACTGATTTTGTATAAGTATGGATATATGTAGAACATTAGAATAGTTTCACTGCATATAAATAAATATCTTATATTATTACTACATAATGAAGTCTCTAAATTTTTCTTTTCTGACTGTCCCACACACATATATATACCCAGAATGATTATCAAAAAATAGTCAAAGTAATGGACGAAAACTATTCCTAGCACAGTATTATACAAGCGCAGTATGCCAACTAGGGGTGTTACATAAACCGATGAGTATATTTTCATATATTTGCCAGGCACAATTGCAGATGGAACACAGTCACAGCCAAACATAGACACAATTACATTTAACAATGTGCATATTATGCAAAATCTATAACAATAAGGAAATTCAGAGTAAAAAAAATAACATATAAGAAGTTTAAAGGCTAGAATTGCCACAGAATTGATGAACACAATTATATAATATTTGATAACAGAAAAAATACAATAGAAAAGAAATCCTTGAAACAAAGAGATTTGTTTTAAAAAAGCATTACTAATATGAACCAGGAAATAATATAGACTTGCATGAAATTTAACAATAATCATGTCCTTCTGTAAAAAGATTACATTTGTTAAAACTGCACACTTATAAATCAAAGAACAAAAACAGAAAATATATAAGATAGCATAGTGTACTGAATAACAAAGTCCCCTACATTTTAGAACAAAAATAAGAAATTGATCGATAATGAGTCATGCCTTTTGAGATACACAAAATACCCTTTCCAGATCCGTCACGGAGCGAAACTGGTAGACTTGAGAACCGTCCCCCTTCCTAGCGTAAATGCGACCACGCTTCGTCCAAGAGTATCTCCATTGCTGCTTGCGACACTCCTCACGGACCTTTTGGAAGAGTTGGCGGTTGGAGCGAGTTAACCGCTCATTGAGGTATATCCGGCCGCCCGCGGTGCCAGTGAAGTTGCGTCGCACCCGCGCAGCATGCAGCAGCTCGTCACGGAGATGGCGGCGAGACAGACGCACAATAACGCGTCGCGGCCGCCCGCTCGCCTCTGCCGGTGGCGGCCCCACACGCTCCGCGAATACTATGTCACGCTCCTCGATGGAGACACCCAACCGCGAGGCCAAAACGACGACGGACTGCGTGACGGTAACCCCTTTCTCCTCCGACATTTGACCGATATCAAGATCAGATAATAATGCCTCTTGTTCGCGATCGTTCAAGTCTTGCTTCAAATGTTCAATTGTACACCTCAATTCATCAGCCCCGCCGGCCCCGGTATCCAGCTTTTGTTGCTCTAGTGCATCCAACCTTATTTCCACAGAATTCAGTCGGGCCATCAAAGATTCATGTAGCTCTCTCATTTCTCTCCGAAACTCGCGCATCTCTCCCATAAAATCAGTGAGTTCACGGTACCTACTCTCATCCATACTCGCATTACCATGATTCTCAGCTGATACATTAGACCCAGGCGGAGAATCACAAATACTCTTAACTGGCGTATTATCTCCTTTTCGACTGCTCTTTTTACAACCGAGACATGCCCATTCCTTGCTGATAGTAGCCTTTTCAGGGATGTTTAAACAGGCTTTATGGAATTTTAACAGACACACCGAGCAGGCAGCGCCACCCGACGACGAGAGGAACTTACCGCAAGCCCCACAATTAACCATTTCTTAGAATAGTCCGCAAGATGGCCCCGCGAGAAAGGCACGCCTCAGACGAAAATCGGTTTGTTCGAAACAGTTCACACTGATGCCGCCAGATGGCCGTATGAGAGCAAAGTCGCTACTCCGCACTAGATGGCGCCTTTTCTCAATAATTTATAAGGCAGAGGCATAAAATGTTTAATCCTGTCACCCACACAAGTGAAGAACTAGTGTTAGTGTGAAATTAAATATGATCGAAAAAGTGCACCACACAGATGAATTTCGTAGCACCCACACAGTCCCAGCTCCACCGGCACAGCGCGAACAACAATAACACAAAGACAAGCAATCCCAACACGTTTATTATTTTTACTCAAGATAAAAACGGACACAGGCCACCACTGTAAGAACGTCCGTGACGTCAGAAATAGATAGAGCCGTAGAGCTCGACAAAGAAAACTAGTAAATTTGCTTGAAATAAGTGAACTAGAATTTAGTAAAAGATTCCGACTAACCAAAAATGCGTTTAATTTTTTATGTGATAAACTTCGACGACACACTTCTTTAAAATCAAGCAAAAGAATTAGTTTAGAACTCAAGGTAAGATGTTTAACATTATAAGTTGTCATAATTACTTCCTTACACCACTCATACAGAATATTTAATAAATTGATCTCATTTTGCAGGTCCTTTGTGCTCTTTCTTTCTATGCCACTGGATCATACCAAAGGCTTGTTGGTATGGCAAAACATTTGGGTCAAACCACTGTCAGCAAATATGTTTGGGAAGTCACCGATGCATTAATAATGATGATGAATTTGTTTATTAAATTTCCTGACACGAGAATACACAGAGAAGCAATAAAAAATCAGTAAGTAACTAATCCATTGTGTTGAATTAATAATTTTCTCTAAACAAAGACATTCTATAAATAATTTTGCGGAGCGGGTGGTTGCCATTCGTCGGCGTCATCAATGGTCGGAGGTCCGATATCATTTGTGGCTGTTGGATGTACAGTAGGCTGGCTGCTAGTGCCTGGAGTGTTCCAATGTTCTTCTGTAATAAATAAAACACAATCATACATTAAATATAACTTTTAAAAATAATTTGTAAGTAGTAATAAAAGTTTATATAAAAATATTAAATGATTAAGTACATATAAGTACCTGTGGTTTCCTCTAATATTGCTTCATGCTCATTTTCGGTAGGAATGTCAGGTGTATGAACTTCAGTCTATAACAAAAAAAAAAACAAAAAAGTAAAAAAAATCCTGAAACGAGATTTGAATCTTCGTCTTTTGTCAAAGTAAGTATTTTAATAGGATTTTGGTTATACTTTTCAAAGCTTAAACGTACATATAAGATATAATACAATTTGAGAAGACTAAGAATTATTTTTATTATAATAATGATAATATCGTGTTAATTATAATGGTTTAATATTATGAAATGTGTGTTAATAACAAACATGTAGAATAAATAATAAGTAAACCTGTTGAAACCCACCCTCCACAATATCCATGCCAGTAGCTGCCTGTACTCCAATTATTTGCATTACTCTATTTTCTAAAACAGTCAAAGATAATTGAAGTGTAGGCCTACCACCACAGCCACTAGCAGCTCTATTAATTTTGGGCCATTTCCTTTTGGTGTTATTTTTTAAATCGCTCCACACCTTCAATATAAAAAATAACTTTGGAAGGTACGTTCTAAATATAACAACAAAAAAATTCTTTGCCTAAAGCTAGACAAAAACTTCAGTGTTAAGTGATTAGGGTGACCACTTGAGAATGCACACCTTGCGCCACTTCTCCGAGCGAAAATCACCCGTCCCTTCACTGTACAATTTCTGTGTCAATTCCTTCTATTTTAATTGAATAAAATGACGACCCCTAGGACCACCAGATGGTTTAGACAAATCTCCGTTTCTGTGAAACCAATAAAACTAATTAACTTTTAAGTTCTCCAGTCACTTAATGTGAATTAATAAATACAAAATCATAATAATGATTTATTGATTTATATAAAGGCATATTAATTATTCACTTTACTTACTTTTCCATAAACTCTACCATCATTAAGTCCTGTAAATGGCTTGTTGTCATTATTACCACAATATTGTAATTATGCCGCTCCGCCTGGGATGCCCCTTGTATCAACTTGACAAAATCAAGTTAGTCGTTCGGAATTCAAAGGTTGTTAAACCTTATACGTAGAATGTATTTAAAATGTGGTATAAGTTTATGATTAGTTTTTGTCACATTATATATTTAGTATAGTATTTTTAAGTGTTTTCTTCAATATTATCAATAAATCTCCTAAAAAGATTATCGAGTTAAAATATCGTATATTAAGAGATCTAATTTCAGAACGCAACATTCGTTCAAAATGGTCTGTGTTCGTTCAGTTGATCCCGTTCAAATTACATTAGAATGATGTCATCAGCGTTATCGTGTCGAGTTCACGTGGCGACGGTGTAAGTGCTTTGTGCTACGAACTAACGTAATCCTATCGGCGACTCGATACGTTGACGTTACGAATACTCTACAAGTTCGCAAAGGGAAAAGTAAACAGATCTAAGTAGCGATGGTTCAGTTATTGACCTAAGAGACTTAAAAACATAAATGAGTTTACGCAATCTCGCAGATAGAATATTGAAGTGTGGCTTAAAGGAGAGGTTGCTATCTATCAGTATTCAAGGTATTTGATTTCATTTACTCTTTCAATGGAGGAACATCTGCAGAAGTTATTGTTTGGACAGCTATGCGCAATAAGTAAAGGGATATCTTTAGTTGGAAGGTCGGTTGGTCTTATGGTATGAATTAAATATTTAGTCTTGCTTACATTTAACGTTAAATGGTTGTTAGTGAACCACTCGCAAACTGTATTAAATCCTGATTGTGCATTTTGGAATACCTCCGACCAAGAGTCACCAGAAAAGAAAAGTGCTGTATCATCGGCGTACGAAAAAAGTGAGCATTTGCGGATATTGAGTGAACATAGGTCATTTACATAAATTAGGAAAAGTGTGGGCCCAAGAATACTGCCCTGTGGCACACCATATTCAACCCGCATCTCGAAACTACACATGCCATCAATTTTAGTAGATTGCACTCGATCTGATAAGTAGTCCTGGAAGAGGGTAAGTTGGTTTCCTCGTATGCCAAGTGCTTCCATCTTTTCTAATAGAATTGGAATTGAGACAGAGTCAAAGGCCTTAGCAACATCAATGAATATAGTTAGGCCTTTTTTACCCTTATCTAAACAATCGACTATATTAGAAGTTAGTTCAAGTACTGCGTGAGAGGTTGATCTTCCAGTTCGGAACCCAAATTGATTCTGACTCAGGATGTTTTTAGTTTCAAGATACTTCTTAAGGCGGTTATTTAACACTCTTTCGAATATCTTAGACAAGGAGGGGAGTATGGATATCGGGCGATAGTTTTCAACACGGTAACGGTCCCCTACTCCTTTAAATATCGGATGAATTATGGCACTTTTAAAGGCTTTTGGAAAAATACCCTGTGAAATGCAAAGGTTGAAGATATGAGTGAGCAAGGGAACTAGTATTTTTCTATTATTTTTAATAATTAAAGATGAAATACCATCCCAACCCACAGCACAATCAGATTTAAGATCACAAATAATTTGATTTATTTCTTCTTCGTTTGGGTACAATAAAACAAATGAATCAGATCCTTTCAGGAGAGAATGTGGCATAGTTACAGTTCGAATGTCGGTATGAGGAAATTTTTTGGCGAGATTTGCACCGACATTGATATAGTAGTTATTAATATCATTAAGCGCTTTCACAGGAAGAGAATGTTGAGCTAAAAGAATATTTGAGGAGGCAGTGTTTATTTTTAAACTAGATATTTCCTTAATGACGTCCCATATGCGTTTATTGTTTTTTCCAGCTTTGCATAAGAGCTCCATATAATAAGCTCTTTTCACTTTTTTTAATAGAGTAGTTAGAAAATTTCGGTACCTAGTGTACGTCAGTTTGAGTATGTCATTTTCAGGAGCTTTTTTGAAGTTTTTATGCAAGCGATTCCTATTTCTTATACATTTCAGAAGACCAGCAGTGATCCAAGGTTTTAGGGGTCGTTTTCGGCGAGGAAGAAGCTCTGTGGTAGAATTACGTTTTATCAATAGGCGTAGAGCATCAGTTAGAATGTCAGCAGCTAAATTTGGATCTGTACAATTAAGAATAGATGTGAAATCAAAGTTACAAATATCATCTGATAGGTTAGCGAGATTAATTTTGTTTCTAGATTTTGGAGCATTTATGTGTTTTTTATTCGTCAAGGAAAGAAGGATTGTGGAATGATCCGTAACAGATGACTCAATAACTAGCGTAGTAGAAGGATATGAGGTTTTGATAATGAAATGATCCAAGCACGCATTATTTCGAGTAGGAAGAGTGTGGGAAGGAAGCATACCATGTGACGCAAGAAGATTGAGATAATCTGGCATTTTATCATTTGAGTTTTCGGCTATTATGTCAATATTTATGTCGCCTGTAAGAATGACATGTTGAAAAGATTTTAAATCATTTAAAATGGTTTCCAATGAACGAATAAATGTGGTTGCATCAATAAATTCACAGGGTCGGTAAATACATATAATTGCAGTATCACAAGCTATTTTCACTACTAGGCAGCTGGCTTCTTCAATTTGAGGCTCGGTTATAGTCACGTTCGGGATATCATCATTCGTAAACACTGTTACACCATCGTTTTGATTATGGGGATTACTTGAACAGTGACTAGAGAAACCACCAAGAACAGGAATAAAGGGGTTTTTAGGAAGCCAACACTCTGTCAGGATGATAATATCATAGTCCAGTTTCATGTTATCAAGAAGCAAAAGGAAGGAATCAAAGTTAGCTGAAATGCTACGTATATTTTGAGAGACTATATTTAAACTCACTCTGTTTGATTTAACTATTGCATAACAATCCTCAGGATAGCACTGATGGGCATCCGAAACCAATACAGAATCCAAATTATTAGCAATATCATTTATTGAATCGAATTTTGTGGTTTAGTTATTGATGTTACAAAAAAAAACCAATTTATGAGTGTTCGATAGTTACTTAATACAAACCCATGATAAAAGTAATAGGAGAGAACCAAACGATACAGTTTATAAATATGAGCTATGTTATTGTAAATAATAGTAATAATTAGAGTTACGTACGGCGACATGTATGCTGCTATTATATTAACTGTTAATTGATATCTATGGCCACATAACAAAACAGTATAACTAAGAATTTTAAACTTATAATAAGATACATGCAAAATCAAACAAACAACATATAAAAAAATAAAGTAAACGTTAAAAAAGACTGTGTCGGTATCTAGTATTATTAAACAGAACCAGAATAGTCACAATTTCTTTTTCATTTTTTCTATATCTTCCACAGAATTGATGTGTATTAGTGGTAGACCATCAGACTTACGTAGATGAACTATTCCTTTTGAAGTCCAACAGTATGCGTAGGCATTGATACGTGCAAATTCCCGAGCCAAAGAAAATATTTTCTGTACTTTGAAAGTAAGTGTTTCAGAGACATAGATCGGTATTGAAGCACCAGATATCTTAAAGTGTGTTGAATTTAATTTTTCACTATTCGGCTTTTGTTTATTAAAATTTGTGACAGCTTTTAAAACGGCCTCTTTAGTTAGCACACTAGTAAATTCAATAATTATAGGCTTGGAAGCTTCTTTACTCGAGTTTATTCGATATATGTCTTTTATATCAGATTGTTGCAGATCGAAACCAACTATATTAGTCAAGTTTTTAGCTATCTTGCACAATTCTAATTTAGACTCACCTCTTTTGTCAGTAATGAATAATTTTGGGACATTTCGGACTTCAATACTTGTGGCTCTTATTTTTCTTTCCAGACTTTCAATTTTGTCCTCTAGCAATGAAATAGATTTTTTATCGCTGACACGTTCTTCTTCCATTTGTTGGAGTTTCAACAAAAGAGCATCATATTTGTCAGACATAAATTGGAGACTCTCTTTTAATTCTGTGTTTTGTTGCTTAATTTCAGTGAGACGGTCAGTTACTGAATTTGAGAAGCTTGAGAACAAATCCCGCAATTCGGTTCTTAGGTCTCGTAAATCATCATTTCCATGAGCTCTCTTTATTCGTACAGAAACTGATCCACTACCACTCCTTTCTGAGTCTGAATCACATGTAGGAACAACACTAGTGTGTTGAGAGGACACCTTTGTGGCGACTGAGTTGGGTGAGCGTCGTAAAGGCATGTTCACAGACAAGTTCTGCTATAGCTAAAGACAAATCAGCGTTAAGGATCACAATAAGATGTACTTAAATTATGTACATATAATATTCACCGATCTGGTAAAGTTTACTACAGTGCGATTTACTCAATTCAGTGTATACCCGGTTATTCCATTTTATATGTTTCCTAATTATTAATTTGTTAAAAATAAAGTAGTAATCAAAATTATTGATTATTTACTTCAAAGTACCAGGGCATCAGCACCGTGAAGGAAGCTAACGTGAGTAAGCGAGACCTCGTAACCTCATATAGTGATCTCTCTTCAGTGAGGGTGTTCCTGGTGGTAGGGATTGTCTATGCGTGAATGAGATGTTTAATGTGACAGTAAAGAACGTAAAGATATAGTATCCCTCTCAATTGAGCGACATATTGAATTGTCATGTGTGGAACTTGAACAGTATATTATTATATGTGTATATAGACCACCTGATGGGGACTACTGTCAATTTGAATCTGCTATGGAGGATGCATTTAAATTAATTTGCAAAGTCGATAAGAAAGTAGTGATATGTGGTGATTTTAATATAGATATTTTAATAAAATGTGCTAAATCAAGTAGATTTTTGAACTTGTTTAAATGTTTTAATTTAGAAAATATTTTTAATGAACCTACCCGCATTACACCCACATCTGCTACTTGCTTAGATAATATTTTTTGTAAATGTAAGGTGTTCAAAAAATCACTTTCGAGCACCATCATGTTTCTCCTAAATGCAATATAATTTGTAGACCTATTACCAAAAGTAATTTAGA